TCTCTCTTCTTATCTCAGAAAGAGCTGTCGTAAAGCTTCTCACCTTTCAATTCATCTGTGCATCCAGCCTTTACATTACTCCCAAAATGTTGCCACAGTTGGCTATCACAGTCAATGAAAACTGTGCTTATGGCCAATCTCATAAAAACGTCAGCAGGCATTTTCTGTTGAAAAGTTGAAAGTGATGCAAAAAAATGAAGAAGTTGTTAGGGGGAAAATACATACGTTTTGAAGAATCATTTTAGTCTTTTCAAAATCTTGTTTCTGCCCAGGTTTTCTCAGCTTCTTGCTGCAGACACACAAACGAACACCTGTCCATTCTTAAGATGAAGATATCACTATAAGATGAAGTAACAGAAGATATCATAGTTTGACTTTCTTCTCCAAATATGTTTGTTACGTGTCTGCAGGCTGCATGTCTTCTTCTTCAGTCAAGTTTAACGGCAGCTTGCATCCAAAACTGTTGCATTACTGCCATCTCCTGGCTGTTAACCGTCCGTAACTCCTGAACCCTCAGATCCTCTTGATGAGACCAGTACTTCTCAAAAAACGAAAAACCACCACTTACCCTTCACCACGACTTAACCTTTCAACCACTTGTTCAAACGTAAGTTCCCTTCCACCACTCAGTTCACCCCACATCACCCTCCTGTGACTTACATACTTCCTACAACTAAGGAGTACATGCTCAACCGTCTCCATATCAATGCACCCATCACACAACCCAGTCGGATGTTTCCCTATCCTAAAAAGAGTACCATTTAAAAAGCAGTGGCCCGTTCGTATTCGACTGATAACAACCTCCTCACGTCTCTGCAATCCGCTACTCCTCTTAGCTTCTATTGTGTTTTGCACCCTATATAAATGTCTCCCTGTTGTTTCATTATCCCATGCCATTTGCCTCAAGTTCCGACTTTCTGCCCAAACTACACTTTTCCCTTCAGATTTTGACAATGGTAACTGTACATCTATGTCGACTCTTCTAACAGCTGCTTTGGCCAGCCTAACTGCACTTTCATTACCAAAGATACCCACATGAGCCGGAGTCCACATTATTACTACATGTTTATCTTGGTCAGACAGTCTATGATGAGCAAAAAGAATGTCATACAGAATTTGCTGATGGGTAGTTGTGTAACCCTGTTCAATACTTAATAATGCGGACAATGAATCACTGCATATCAGTACTTTTGAGACCCTGCTGTCCTCCACCCATTCAAGAGCCAGCAGTATGGCAAACAATTCAACTGCATATACACCCAGACGGGATGATGTCCTTTTCGCAATCTTGATATTCAACACCGGAATTACCACTGCGACACCAGTTGCTTCTGTCTTAGGATCTTTTGACCCATCTGTATACACCTGTCAGGCTGGTGACAACCCAACATAGCTCCAGGGCATTGGAGCAAACAATTAAAAAAATTGTGGATGCCGACCTGCCCCAAACCCTTGCAGCTCCAGCTCCTCCTGGATCTCCAGTTCCGGCCCCCCGTCGAGTTCCAGCGCCTCAAACTGGAGGAGGAGCTGGAGTTCGAGCAGGGGCTGTAGCTCCAGCCCCTGCTCGAACTCCAGCTCCTCCTCAAACTCCAGCTCCAGAACAAAGGAAACCTTGAAGGGTTGTTAGACACCCTCCAGAGGTGGACTTTAAAGGGCTTATTGTGGGGTACCTCCTGTCAATTGACAAAAAGTTAGAGGAGGCGCTTCAGCCAGTCTCTGATCCTTCAGAGACTCTCCGGCTGAGCCTCAGCCTGCTGAGTCAGGACGACTGGTAAAATGATTTTCTACTGTTATCATTAATTATTTTCAATGTAATGTGAGGATGTGACTTTTAAAACTATTTGATCTTCCTACAGGCAGAA